GAGACATCTTCGGCGCACTCCAAAATGGCAAATATGGCAATGTTTCTGTTTGCGTGTGTCGGTGCCATCTTGACTACCGGCATGGAGATCCCCGCTACAGACCAAGCAGATGAGTCATGCGCATTGCAGAGCAAAGCCTCGGACCACGTGACGGAGAAGCTGGAGACCTCGGAGGAGCGACTTGCAGCAATGCAAGCAGCAACGCAAGTGACGTCCGAGTCCGGAAGTGGTGCAACACATTCACCTCCTCCCCCATCAGGCATAAGGGCAAAGGGCTGGCGAATCACCGCCATCAAGCCTTCTGAAGAGATGTGGGCATGGGATGTGAAGCAGGCAGCTGGCATTTCAAAACCAAACAGTTTTTAATTAGCTGTATATGTGTCCCCGTAACTGACGGTTGACTCTGTATGCTGTGTGGCATGAATTGCAGGTGCAGTTCCTGACCGACACAGGTGACAAACTCATGCCATCGCCTTTCGGATGCTCAACTGTTTCGAGTGGCACGGTTGAAGTCGAGGGATGGGAGCCTGAGAATGCGTTCAGGGACGATATTGATGCGGCATGGGGCGGTCGCCAGGATAGGAGTGGAAGCTTCTACATTGGGCTCCGTTGCCCCACTGCGGTGAAGTTGGGGGAGGTGAAGCTGCAACAAGAGCCTCATCCATCGAGCCCACCTGTTGACAAGGTGAAGATTGAATTCACCATGGATGATGTCGGTGGGAGTACTCAATGGCTTAAGTTCTGCGAGGTGTCAATCAGCCAAAACAGCTTGGAGACGATATGGTTTCTCGGAACTCTCTATTACGTTGAGAATTGCCACATGTGCAAGAAGGACTGGTGTGCCGGACCGTACATGCAGCACGACACCTACGTTGAAGTTGATCATCTGCAAGGACCTTCCTTGGCAGATGCGCCTGAGGGCTGCGGCGTGATCACCTCCGATACCAGGATGGCCCGCAACCCCGAGACAGGAGCAATCTACGCCTTGGTTCCTTTCATGTCGAAAACTTCAAGCCCATGTGATTGCACCACGGAGTGGATGAGCGGACATGTTCATGTGGTCTTCAATGGTTGTGCGGATCACAGCCATGATGGGCAAATGTGGTGCTACGTTGTGGGAGGAAGGAAATGCTCGCAGGCAACAGCGTCTTCTTGGTTTCCTGGCGCATATTATATTACTGGGTGCACGCCTTCCACTCAGTCCACTCCAAAACAGGTACTTGGCCGCCCATTAACCCTGAACGGCAAGGCCTTGCTGGCTGCTGCCACTGCAACGCGTGAGTTCAAGGATTTGGCTGATGGGTGGGGATTCCCCGCCAGTAACTTGGGTCACCCAATGCTGTCAGCAGTGAGCGGCAGAGCTGCGCATATGCCTCAGGAATTGCTGGAGGAAGCCCTGCGTGGCTTTGGCGCCGGAAATCCATTCCCAGAGGCAACCGGCACTCTGGCGATGGAATCGCAACTCCCGCACATGCTTGCTGTGGCACAAGCGGAGCTTGCCAGTGCGGGTCCTGAGGAGCGTGAGCATTGGAAGGAAGCGGGCTTGGCAGAGCATGCGTCAGTTGGTTCCTTTGCGAAGCTTTGCTTGGAGTTGCTTGTTGCAGGAGCACCGCCAAGGTTGTTGCGCCGCGCCATCAAGGCACAGGAGGAGGAACTTGTGCATGCTCATCTGTCTCTGGGCCTTTTGCGTGGTGCACACCATGAACTCCAATCGCCCACTGTCTTCAAAAGCTTGAGGGTCGACCTCGCCAATGCTACCCAGACAGATGGCCATGGTGGCTTTGCCATCGAACGCTTGGACCTCCCAGAACACAGCTTTGAAGTACGGCGTGACTTTGTTGCGCTCCGAAATGCCGCCATCGAGGAGGGTCTCATCGGCGAGGGCCGTGCGGCGCTTCGGCTCTTCCAGCGCTCCCTTGAAACTCTGCATGGCCAGAGCGAGGGTAAGCTGGATGGCCGCGAGGTGTTGTCGGAAGGCCGCCGGGCTCTTGCGAAGATCGTTTGGGCGATTGCGAACGATGAGGCGCGCCACGCCGCATTGGCCATGGAGACCATTGAGTGGCTTTCGGGGAGAGACAGCAGACCACAGGCACAGCTGCCCAAAGTGCAGATCAGCCAAGGGACTGTGGTCGTGCAGGAGGTTGCATAAGCTGCAGCTGTGTGGGCATGCAAGCGGACAGCTCCAGTGAACAGAAGTTAGATCTTAGTTGACCACATGAGACAACTCCCATGAAAGCTGGGTCCACAAGAAGAGCTTGCAAAGAGGGCTTAACTTGTGCCCCAGCCAAAAGAGCGGGGCAGGGACCGTCTCAAGAAGTTATAAATCACAACCCGCCGCCGCTGAATCCGCACGTCGTTTTTTGTCGAAACAAGCGTTTGGTGTAGGCAAAACGGTATTCGTTGAGCTTAATTTCTAAACGCGAATTCGTCTTTAATTTAAAAAAAAACGCTGTTTTTTTCGAGGTTTCTGCGCGCGCGTTTCTTGGTATCTATTGAGGTGCACATCGTGTTCGGGCTTACAGGTGTTGTTTTGGGTTGCACTGTGGGTTCTCTTCTCTGGATGTTTCATGGGTGCATGATCTTTTGGCATTGCAGTACAGCACTATTGAGGTTTGGGAGTGGTATTGTTTAGGGTTGAAGCTTTGAAGAGTTGAAGGGTTTTAGGAGTTGCAAGTGTTGCAAGTTTCTGCACTACGGCTTTCTTGTGGGCCGGGGGATCTAAAGGGACTTAGGGGGCTAGGAAGCTTAAGGGGACTCAGGTGGCCTCGGTGGCTAAAGGGAAATTCGGGCATCGCGATCATGGTCGATGTGGTGTTATAATAAAGTGCTCTTTAAGAGGAACTCGTCTATGAAAAGAAGAGTGTCTATGAAAAGAAGAGTGTCAGTGAACTTCGATGTTTCTCTTCCAAAAGCGAGATCTCGTAGAGACCGCAGGCCGCAGGCAGCTCCCCCCAAGAGGCGGCCCCAAGCAGAGTTTTGTCGGAGGCATGGGTTTAGAGATCAGGGTTGAGGGTTTTTTGAGGCCAGAACGTAATTATCCCCCCCCCCCCCAACCCGGGACCAACCCTAAAAACCTTGTAAAAACCTTGTGCGGTTGTAGCGGCGCTAGCTATCACAACAATAAGACTGATAACAATCATCATAATGCGAAGATACAGTAAATTCTTATCATTAGTATTACTATTACTCGTAGAGTAGGTCGCCCCAGAGAGCAATGGCTACATCACACAAATGCTCCTTTATATAGCGTTAACGGGCAATGGAGAACTACATTGGGTCTGAACCTCAAAAGGCCGCAAGAGACAGAATCATTTAAGATAACGTCTCTCCTGTTTTCCTCCCAGCTCAGCTCCCAAGCGTTCACCGACGATGCAGCGATCTGCATCGAACGCATGGTATTGGAAAATTACTTACTATCATTATTGTTGTTTTTGTTAATTGCTCTGTTTATGACCCGCTGCGGACAGTCGCTGTAGTAGGTTGAAGAGCCACGCGGGCCATGCAAGCTCAGAGCTGGTGCAGATTTTATGCAATTTTGCGCTGATGCTGGAAAGGCTGCTCCCAGAACAGTAATCATACTAGTAGTAATGGTAAGTATCATTAGTGATAGTAATATTAACAGAAACATAATAGAAATAATATTCGTAATAATATGTAGTACTTGTAGTAGTACTTGTAGTAGTAGTAGTAGTAGTAATAATAATAATACTAGTAATAATGAACGAAGTAAGAACAACAGACGTAATAGTAATAATTTCAGTATCAGCACAAGGCAATTTGAGAACGAAGGTGTGTAACCGAGCTTGGATTCTGAAAGCATTGAACTCGGATCAGGAATGAAACGTCATTTTGGAGTGGCCTCTCCATCATGTGTGCTTAATTTGTGGATCCTGGTGGACAGTCGCCGTAATAGGTTGAAGAGCCCCAGAAGGAAAACAGCACATGGCCGACCACGAGCTGTTAGAACATTATAGCAATGATACTGGTTAGTAGTAATACCGATAGTAAGAATAATAATGCTAGTACTACTAGTACTAGTAGGGATCAGGATATTTAGGGGTTTGCGGTTCAAAGAGAGTCCATGTCCGGAGCATGTGCAAAGGTGCAAAGGTGCAAAGGTGCAAAGGTGCAAGGGTGCAAGTCTAAAGCCCGGGACTCCAAGACCTTTGAGCTTGATACCACAAAGCGCTAAAGGGGCAGTATCAGGGTAGTATCACGTCGTCTCTTGCCAGTCAGAGCCTCCACCCAGTCGTGGCTGTGCAGCTCTGTTCATCTGTTCAAGTTGGAGCGGCTTCGCCGTGTCCTGAAGGAAAAGGGATGTCCCGGCCCCGATCCCGAAAAACCCTCTGAGAACTAGAGCCTTAAATTCTTTTCTCGTTTGACTCTGAGCTCAATAAGTCAGAACTTACTTGGCGCATCCTGAGCTGGAGCCTCGCAATTTTGGCTTGGTTCTGGATTGAAGGCAATGGCGCGTGCCAAGCCACCTAGCTTTGTTTGAACTTTCCGGCAACGGCTCATCGCAAAGGCATCGTGCAAAATTTCATGCTTGAATGCAGCCTCCAAGCTCATGTCGTGACTTCGACGAAGAAGTTATTACGACACTACGAGGATGGACGGAAAGAACTTCTCTCGAGCTATTAGCGAGCGCGCGCATCAATTAATCATTGTACCTCCCCACGATGCCCCTCTAACTAGTGAGACAGCTTAGCTTATGTGAAAGTAAATGTCCTAACGCATTTCACAGGGGCGATGCCTATGCACTTCACCAACAAACGGTCAAGACCTCCTGTGAATAACCACACGGCCGCGGCTCTGGTGCCGGTGCTGTCGGTTTTTGTAGGTGTTTTGCAGAGTAGGCACATGCCAGGATGGGAGGCAGCTTTGTTGCGCAAGTTGTTGAATTTGTCTGTCTTGGTTTCTGTCCAGTACCTGTCGGCGCGCCTTGCTACAGTTTCGGCTTCAGACCCCAGTCAGCTGAGACATCTTCGGCGCACTCCAAAATGGCAAACATGGCAATGTTTCTGTTTGCGTGTGTCGGTGCCATCTTGACTACCGGCATGGAGATCCCCGCTACAGACCAAGCAGATGAGTCATGCGCATTGCAGAGCAAAGCCTCGGACCACGTGACGGAGAAGCTGGAGACCTCGGAGGAGCCACTTGCAGCAACGCAAGCAGCAACGCAAGTGACGTCCGAATCCGGAAGTGGTGCAACACATTCACCTCCTCCCCCATCAGGCATAAGGGCAAAGGGCTGGCGAATCACCGCCATCAAGCCTTCTGAAGCGATGTGGGGATGGGATGTGAAGCAGGCAGCTGGCATTTCAAAACTAAACAGTTTTAAGTTAGCTGTATATGTGTCCCCGTAACTGACGGTTGACTCTGTATGCTGTGTGGCATGAATTGCAGGTGCAGTTCCTGACCGACACAGGTGACGAACTCATGCCATTGCCTCCTTTGGGATGCGCAACTGTTTCCAGTGGCACGGTTGAAGTCGAGGGATGGGAGCCTGAGAATGCGTTCAGGTACGATATTGATGCGAAATGGGGCGGTCGCAAGGATGCGAGTGGAAGCTTCTACATTGGGGTCCATTGCCCCACTGCGGTGAAGTTGGGGGAGGTGAGGCTTCAACAAGAGCCTCATCCGTCGAGCCCACCTGTTGACCAGGTGAAGATTGAATTCACCATGGATGGTTTCGGTGGGAGTACTCAATGGCATAAGTTCTGCGAGGTGTCAATCAGCCAAAACAGCTTGGAGCCGATATGGTTTCTCGGAATTCTCTATTACGTTGAGGCTTGCCACATGTGCAATAAGAACTGGTGTGCCGGACCGTACATGCAGCACGACACCTACGTTGAAGTTGATCATGCGAAAGGACCTTCCTTGGCAGATGCGCCTGAGGGCTGCGGCGTGATCACCTCCGATACCAGGATGGCCCGCAACCCCGAGACAGGAGCAATCTACGCCCTGGTTCCTTTTTCAAGCCCATGTGATTGCACCACGGAGTGGATGAGCGGACATGTTCATGTGGGCCTCAATGGTTGTGCGGCTCACAACCATGATGGGGAAATGTGGTGCTACGTTGTCGGAGGAAGGAACTGCTGGCAGGCAAGAAAGTCTGCGCGGTTTCCTGGCGCATTTTTTATTTCTGGGTGCACGCCTTCCACTCAGTCCACTCCAAAACAGGTACTTGGCCGCCCATTAACCCTGAACGGCAAGACCTTGCTGGCTGCTGCCACTGCAACGCGTGAGGTCAAGGATTTGGCTGATGGGTGGGGATTCCCCGCCAGTAACTTGGGTCACCCAATGCTGTCAGCAGTGAGCGGCAGAGCTGCGCATATGCCTCAGGAATTGCTGGAGGAAGCCCTGCGTGGCTTTGGCGCCGGAAATCCATTCCCAGAGGCAACCGGCACTCTGGCGATGGAATCGCAACTCCCGCACATGCTTGCTGTGGCACAAGCGGAGCTTGCCAGTGCGGGTCCTGAGGAGCGTGAGCATTGGAAGGAAGCGGGCTTGGCAGAGCATGCGTCAGTTGGTTCCTTTGCGAAGCTTTGCTTGGAGTTGCTTGTTGCAGGAGCACCGCCAAGGTTGTTGCGCCGCGCCATCAAGGCGCAGGAGGAGGAACTTGTGCATGCTCATCTGTCTCTGGGCCTTTTGCGTGGTGCAAACCATGAACTCCAATCGCCCACTGTCTTCAAAAGCTTGAGGGTCGACCTCGCCAATGCTACCCAGACAGATGGCCACGGTGGCTTTGCCATCGAACGCTTGGACCTCCCAGAACACAGCTTTGAAGTACGGCGTGACTTTGTTGCGCTCCGAAATGCCGCCATCGAGGAGGGTCTCATCGGCGAGGGCCGTGCGGCGCTTCGGCTCTTCCAGCGCTCTCTTGAAACTCTGCATGGCCAGAGCGAGGGTAAGCTGGATGGCGGCGAGGTGTTGTCGGAAGGCCGCCGGGCTCTTGCGAAGATCGTTTGGGCGATTGCGAACGATGAGGCGCGCCACGCCGCATTGGCCATGGAGACCATTGAGTGGCTTTCGGGGAGAGACAGCAGACCACAGGCACAGCTGCCCAAAGTGCAGATCAGCTCAGGGACTGTGGTCGTGCAGGAGGTTGCATAAGCTGCAGCTGTGTGGGCGTGCAAGCGGACAGCTCCAGTGAACAGAAGTTAGATCTTAGTTGACCACATGAGACAACTCCCATGAAAGCTAAGATGGGGCCACAAGACAAGCTTACAAAGAGGGCTTAACTTGTGCCCCAGCCAAAAGAGCGGGGCAGGGACCGTCTCAAGAAGTCATAAATCACAACAATAAGACTGATAACAATCATCATAATACGAAGATACAGTAAATTATTATCATTAGTACTACTATTACTCGTAAAGTAGGTCGCCCCAGAGAGCAATGGCTACATCACACAAATGCTCCTTTATATAGTGTTAACGGGCAATGAGAACTACATTGGGTCTGAACCTCAAAAGGCCGCAAGAGACAGAATCATTTAAGATAACGTCTCTCCTGCTTTCCTCCCAGCTCAGCTCCCAAGCGTTCACCGACGATGCAGCGATCTGCATCGAACGCATGGTATTGGAAAATTACTTACTATCATTATTGTTGTTTTTGTTAATTGCTCTGTTTATGACCCGCTGCGGACAGTCGCTGTAGTAGGCTGAAGAGCCACGCGGGCCATGCAAGCTCAGAGCTGGTGCAGATTTTATGCAATTTTGCGCTGATGCTGGAAAGGCTGCTCCCAGAACAGTAATAGTAATAGTAGTAATGGTAGGTATCATTAGTGATAGTAATATTAACAGAAACATAATAGAAATAATATTCGTAATAATATGTAGTACTTGTAGTAGTAGTAGTAGTAGTAGTAGTAGTAGTAGTAGTAGTAATAATAATAATACTAGTAATAATGAACGAAGTAATAACAACAGACGTAGTAGTAATAATTTCAGTATCAGCACAAGGCAATTTGAGAACGAAGGTGTGTAACCGAGCTTGGATTCTGAAAGCATTGAACTCGGATCAGGAATGAAACGTCATTTTGGAGTGGCCTCTCCATCATGTGTGCTTAATTTGTGGATCCTGGTGGACAGTCGCCGTAATAGGTTGAAGAGCCCCAGAAGGAAAACAGCACATGGCCGACCACGAGCTGTTAGAACATTATAGCAATGATACTGGTTAGTAGTAATACCGATAGTAAGAATAATAATGCTAGTACTACTAGTACTAGTAGGGATTCAGGATATTTAGGGGTTTGCGGTTCAAAGAGAGTCCATGTCCGGAGCATGTGCAAAGGTGCAAATGTGCAAAGGTGCAAAGGTGCAAGGGTGCAAGTCTAAAGCCCGGGACTCCAAGACCTTTGAGCTTGATACCACAAAGCGCTAAAGGGGTAGTATCAGGGTAGTATCACGTCGTCTCTTGCCAGTCAGAGCCTCCACCCAGTCGTGGCTGTGCAGCTCTGTTCATCTGTTCAAGTTGGAGCGGCTTCGCCGTGTCCTGAAGGAAAAGGGATGTCCCGGCCCCGATCCCGAAAAACCCTCTGAGAACTAGAGCCTTAAATTCTTTTCTCGTTTGACTCTGAGCTCACAAACCCTCCCTGGCTGGGCACCTGGGCCGAGTTTCATTCACGAGCTGACCCATTTTTCTCTGGGTACGTAGATGCCCTCAGAGAGGCTGTCAACGTTGTGGTTCGGAGCAGGCTCTAAACCCAAGGTTCAACCTTAGCTGCCCATGGTACCGCCTCAGCCTGGAGCACACTAAGCCGCATGATTGACTTTCGAAGAAACGGCTTCGTCAGCGCTTTCAGAAGATTGCGACCCCATGGCACAGCTCTTTGCAGAAGGTGTCTATGAAGCGACACCGCAGGGTGTAGGGTTTAGGGCCTAGTTTAGGGTTCAGGGGTTTACGAACACATCGCGTTGGATTTGCTATTGGGGTCCACGGCTGAGTTATTTATTCCTTGTAGCTTTCACCGTAAGTTTCCCTTGCTGAGGGTTCGGGTTCGGGCCAAAACTCTAGGTGGTTTTCTTAGTCAGATCCTCGGATTATGTTTCTTCTCTCGCTTCTTCATCATGCTTCTTTTGTCCGTCTGCGAGGCAGTGGTGCCATGGACAGGAACGGTCTCCAGGGAGTAAGCTTGACGGTCAGCACCTTTGATTGCAGGAAGATCCGCGCAGGAAGAGTGTCAGAGTCACAAAGAGCCTGTAACAAGCAGCAATTCTGTCAATTTTAGTCAATATGCTTTAGCTGCTACGGATACTTTTTTGTCCATCCACGCACAAAAGATTCTTCAGCGTGCTCTGCATTGACAGACAGCATCCTTTCAATAAAGTTCCGTGGCATATCGTCTTTGGACAACCCAGCAAGCAGATCAAGAAGCGATTCAATGCAGGATCAGTCTCCATCGAATGTTGCCCTGCAGTGCCATGTGCTCAAGACCAGATCGAGGCATCCAGTTCCAATGTTTGATGCCATGCCCGTAACCCAGCGTGCCCATGCGATGCAGCTCCAGGCCGTGTTCCTGTTCCTCTTTATGTTGCCCCTGGTGGTGGGGCAATGCCAGGCTCTCGACTCCAGCCTCGGCAGTTCGGTTGAAGACAAGGCTTTGGTTCAATTACGTGTAAATCTGCCTGGCACCGAAGACTTCTTGGATCCGGTCAATGAAGCGTTCCCTGGTTCGAATCCAGGAAACAAGCAAAGGCATCCTTGCTAAGAAATATGCCTGTGGATTGTTTTGGGTTGTCTTAGGTTTTTGATAGCAAATCAAGGTTTCTCCACCTCGAACTTTTGGCCACCAAGCAGAGCATGCACAACAATGGTTTCTGGAGTTGCATAACGGGCACGGACGACAAGACCTGTCCCGGCAGGAAACCCACCATGTGGTTCACGATGCTGAGTGCCACTATTCCCCAGAAGCTCCCCGCAAAGAGTGGTCCGCTTGGCCTGCTCGCCCTTACAAATACCTGGTGGGCCAATGTGCCTTCCCGGGGAAACATGTACTGGCATGAAGCTTCGACCTGCGGCAACGTCGGCCTGAAGAATCCGAAGTTTGCCAGCCACCAGGCTTTCCGAGAGTCACTGCTCAGGATTCTGAACGAAAGCGCAAGGGTGAAGCGAGAGTGCCCAGCCCCCGCTGGCAAATGCCCGACGTGGTACAACTACAACTGCGGTAATGAGTCCGGTGTGAAAGAGCAGGCGCTTTTCTGTTTGGATCCAGTCCTTCAGGCCACTTGCCCTCACGAAAGCCTTTTTCTGTTTGTGAGATTTTGCGAGGTGATGCCGGCTCAGCGGGCTTGGGAAGAGCACATGGAGTTTCGCGCAGTTGTCGGGCCCCTCACGAAAGGACCGAGCAGAGTATCGCAAGCTTGGCGTTAGCCAAGCTTGCAGTTGCGCGAGTGGTGAGGCTCATGCTACATGTTTCGCTCCTGTCGATCCTGCCCCAGAGTCGCCAAATGATTTTTGAAAAGAACGATCCGCCGGAAAGTCCACGGCAGTCTAGCCGAGCCTCTCTAGTTAACAGGAACATGAAAAGTGCACCAAAGTGCACCATGAACCTTAAAAGGCCCGAGGTCTGAACTGTATGAAGCATCCACCTCGAGAGTTCCCCCATAAAATCTTCGGCAAGAATGACAAAAACAAGTGCCTGCGCGCACTGAAACTCTAAACCGTTTAAACCTAAACCCTCTCATGGCCGCGAGAAGAGAAGGGATACTTGAACCTCGGAGACTACGAAGACTACTGCTTTTCCAGGATCTTCTGGCCTTCAGGATGCCCTCAAGTGGCAGGACGGTTGGGGGACGGTAGGGGGACGGTAGGGGGACGGTAGGGGGAGGGTAGACTGTCGGATCCCTTTTAGAATCCTTACCCGCTTGTGCCAGGATGATCAAATGTGGGCAGGAAAGCAGGAGTTGCCAGTGGAGCCTTTCGTGGGCGCATTTTATGACTTCGATGTCCAGCCAAGGGGGTTTGTCCCGCTAGACAAGCTTCCTATTGGCGGCGAACACAAGCTCAGCCAGCAGCATTTTTTGAACTTATGCTGCACCATGTTAATGACCTCGAACTCGGACGTTGACCAAAAGACGTATCCACTCTACTTCCACTGGTACACGAAGCTTCCAGCAGGTGCACCCAAGGCCATTTGAGCAGAGTAGCAGCAGCGCCAACTAGGTGTTTTAGCCGGAGTCGTGCCACATGTAATGTACCACTGCATGTCGCAGAGGTCATGCAAGCGGTAGTCGCCGCCATATCAGACGAAGAGCAACAGTGATGCTTTTTTTGAGCGTGTTCATGATCACCCTTGTTGCTTGTTCATCAGCACTGCAGGCTACCTTCGACATGGTTGGTACAGAGGCCGTTTGGAGCTGGCTGGCTAAGAGCAACAAGGACCTGCTACACTGCAGTCGCCTGAAGTGCCTCGGCTTCTGCTGAGGGCTTTAGGGCTGTTAGTCCAGCTTCGGCTGCAGTTCGGTGATCCAAAGGGTTAATGACCGAGCACGCACTGCAGGTGCCAGTCCGAAACCAAGACTCCGGACTCCTCGACGCAGTGCGATGCCCCATTGAAGGTTTCGATCAAAGACGTGACCGGAGAAATGGAGGCAATTGCAGCCTGTGACGCGGACTTTGCGACCAAACAGCTCACGGACATCTTGCAGACTAAGAAGTTGCTAGAGAAGGGTGAAGAGTGCACTCTGAACTGCGATGGGTCGCAAGCGGACACCGAACCGTGCTGCTGCTTGTGCATTCACAAAATCATATACAATCAAAATTAGAGCCTAAGTCTCAGTGCGAAGTTTCTTGCGAATTGGGATCTTCGATGACTCTGTCGGCCTGAAGCCTTCAGCCTTTTGAGGCTGCAGCTTCTATCAGAGCGGCGCGAAGACGGCCAGCCCGGTGTTTCCCTCCAAGGTTTCCAAGCTCAACACCTCGGACCTTGAGACCGAGCTGCGTTTCGAGCTGCTCAGCGAGCAGGGTATGGACAAGGACAGGGGAAGAGTAGGGGAAGCTTGTGAAGACATAACAAGGGATGTCAAGGGCCATGCTGAGCAGGACCTTGTGGCTGCCTCCAGACAGGCGGGCTTCTCAAGTGCCACCGATCGACAAGCCTTCAATGCGCAACTTCACGACAAGGCCAGGTAGATCCTGATGATTAGTTTCGAGTCCGGAGAGAGTAGATGCCGATGCCCCTGACCTGCAGGGCATATTCAGTGCTTCGCAGCTGAGCTCCCTGAGGGATCAGGTGCCAGACCATATGACATCCCATATGACATCCCATGACTTTTGTCGTGTTGTTCCGATGTCAGAAGTAGGAGCGGACATTTCAATCCTGAGCCTCAGACTTTATGACTGATTTTGAGGAGCTTTTTTGAAGAGTTGACTCGGAAGGTCCGAAGGTGCTTCGCTTCTCTTCTATGAAGGGGAACAGGAATGGACATTTGTTAACCATGTGGAATGTGGCTCCACCAAGGGAACACCAAAGCTGCGGCACCAGACCAGAATTAAGGCGTAGCGCAACGGTGTGACCAGGACCTGAACCTTCCGAATGACCGGATGGTGAGAAATCGGTTCCACGAAATCCAGGCCCGGGGGTTCTGCAAGAGTTGCAGTAGTAGCAGTAGCAATGTAGTAGCACAGCCATAGTAGCAAAAGTGGCAGCTGCAGTGATAGCAGTAGCAGCAATGGCATCGAAGCAGTAGTAGCCGTTCTAGTCATAGCTGTGGCAGTAGCGCTTGTAAGCGCGCTCTCCGTGATTTTGTGCTGCGACGTGCCGGAAGCTTAACAAAGCAGCAATGCCCACACGGATCCCACACACGGATCCCGGAAGCCCGGAAGCCCGGAAGCCCGGAAACCCGAGTCGAGATTCGGAGGCTGGGCAGGAAGCCCTCCGCCTCGGAGCAGGCGGACTGAGGGAAGTTGAGTTTTTTTAATCTCAGGAAGCCCTTCTAACAGCAAAGCCCAGAATTTTGACTCCCTTTTTTTACAGAGCTCAAATCTGAGTTGGTACTGTGGCGTTGCGAGCCAGGCGGCACAAGTTGGGCCGGCAATGAAGAAATGCGCAGGCAGCTTCAACAGCAAGTGGCACAAGACCTCGAAAGGACGCAGAGACTTGGCATACCATTGATCATACCATGTTTCGGCCTCTTCGGTACTGAGGCTTTTGCCGGCTCATCGCAGTTCTTACGCATCTTAAGCATCTCAACAGCACAGTGTCTTGGCAGTTCGCAGCCCAGGAACCTGCTCAAATCAGCCATGGCCGATGCCCAAAATGCAGTCAATCAAGGCTCTCAGGAGTTGCAAAGCAAAGCGCAGGAGCTTTTGCAATGTGTGTCCTGACGTGGGTGGCTCGAGCGCTCTCTCAAGCTACATAAAACAGTTTTCCCTGAGACTGCACGGGCTCCTGCACTGCGTGGACCACTAAAGGGGCAACATGGCGGTGTTTGAAACGTGAAGGTGGGAGATGGTGAGAGCATAGGTAGGTTTGCCGAGTTACGGGGAAACCCGTTCGGTGCTGGTATGTGCCGGTCTATATTGCTCAGCGCCCCCTTGGGATCGCAACCTGGGGGATCCTCTTCTTGTCCTTGAAGGTTTGGCCATTGAAACTGACCCGTTGATAGGGATACAATCACCCGGATTGCAACTTACACCACCTTACATTCTCCTCGGGCCCCTTGTTTTGTTTTTTGCTTAACCCTGGCTGCAAGGGTTTCCACAGCCATGGTTAATTCCTCTCATGTGCACAAGAGGCAGAGAGCCAGACGGTCAGATCATGCCAATGCCAGGGGAAGATTTCGTGTTGTTGGGGTAGCGGGCAGTGAGGGCTGTGGGTGTGCGGGCTTGGGCATGGCGGTGAGACTTGGGGTCGGGGGGGCGTTGGGCGGCGCACGCCCACTCCCCCACCAGGAGGTGAGGGAGATAGAGGATGGACGGGGGTTGGGGCTCGGGGATTTAGAGGGTAAGGGGCAGGAGGTGAAGGCGGTGATAGGGGAGGGCGGTCAATGGAAGCGGCGACGGCGGGCGTGGGAGCCGTGAGGGCTGTGAGGGCAGTGAGGGGTTAGGGCTAGGAAGGCGGATAGAGTCTGATCCAAATCACGAATCCACTTGTTCAACCCATTCGGGTTCTCCGATTGGAGACCAGGTTGCTGCAGCCTGTTTACTTTCTGGTCTACGTTGACAAAGTTTGCCAGGAGGAGCTGCGGAAAGCCAAGGCAGAATTGGCGCAGGCAAGGCATTATTTGGGGTTTAGTATTCTATCTGGGTTCATCCCTTCCCCCTAATATCAAAGGCCTCCCCCCCCCTCCCCCTCCCCCCCCCCCTTGTATAAAAACACCCCCAAAGGGTTTTTAGTATTAGGGGGGGCTCTTATCGTTTGTCCGAAAAACCAGCCTGTCCTTATTGTAGCATGCTGGCTCAGCAGCCCAGCCTAAGCCTAGACAGCGAAGGGAGGGAAGCCAGCTTCAGGATGTTGGTTGGCTTGAAGGTTTAGGTTCTTTAATTAAGCCCTAAAGGTTTGGGAAAGGTTCATGTTGTTGCTTCAGGCTCCCCCCTAACCCCCCCTCTCTCGCTGTAGAGGTCTTAATTGGGACAGGCACGGCATCGGGATTTTGGGCCAGGTTTTTTTTTCTAAATCTTAGGGGGGTATTAATGTTAGGGGGAAGGGATTAGCTGAGCTTCGCCGTCATAAGGACCAATACCGTAATTGTTCCATCGCCGTGAGAAACACAGTACATGAAACTGCAAGAAAAGCTGGGCAAATCTTCAGGGGTCGCTTTGGGCTTTGTGAGGGTCCGTCCGTCTGATGTGAGTTGTCCCGTGAGGTCCAAACACGGGAACTTGATCTGGACACCACGCAGGGCAGCAATCGTCTCCAATCGCTGATGGCTTCAGGCTGGGCTTCACGGAGGGCAGTTTTTTGTGTCGTAGCGCAACGCCACCTTTTGCTGAAACCGTTTTATGTCTTCTGCCGCTTTATGTTAGGAAGCGCTGAGCTGAGATTCAGCTTAGCTTCGTGTTTGACCTTGGGCTTTTTTTGGAGCATGACGAAATTTGCCAACGCAGTACTGTATCGTTACCGTTGCGTTGCCTAGCACGTTTTGTTGGGCTGATTTTGTACATATGCTATGCACGGAGACGAATTGTTATTGTAAACGCTTGCGATTGCCGCCTCGGCAGCCGTCCCAAGGCCCAAGAAATTTCCTAAAACCTTTCCCTTCCCATCCAAATCCTCAAAAACCTCCATGGGGTCCCAAAAGCTTGCCTTGCCCAGGGCAACCTAGCCGGTGCTAAGTCACCCGGAAAGGGGAAAACAAGCTAGCCCATGTCATCAAACTGGAAAAGAGAAAGGTTCCTGACAGCAAAATCATCCCTGTGTGGGCGTCGATCAAATGAAGAAGAAGAATTCTTGTGAGTAGGTGAAATAACGCTCTTCACCGTACGAAGTCCAGAAGGTGAAACTTGGGTTTTGCATGGTTTTGCCAACGATACGCCCGTGACTGTGACGACTCAACATTACAACAGACAACCGAACCATCACCAGGAAGCTGCTGACTCAGTATCTGAAGCGCAGCCTCTGCGTCTCGCTCAGCCCCCATCATAGAGATCCATCTCGATGGAGTACACTGACGACGTTGACCAAGACACTCACGCCGCGTCATGTTGTGACGATCCCTCCAGGTCCAATTTGCATGACAACGCAAACAAGACATGAGACCGTGAGGCTCGCTGCGCGAGAGAGAGCCATTCCAAACCAGCTCGTGCTTCCCACAAGGGGGACGCATGTCCAAGAAAAGGGCCAACAATCTGTGAGGATTAGAACTGTAATTCGGAGATGAAAGATGCTCTGGAACCTGTGCCTGTTTGCATGTGATTCCGGATATTTTGAGACGACGATGCCGAACCTAAGTGACATGCTTTCCGCACTTCACGCAAAAGACCCCACCCTGAGCGGCAGTCTTGATGAAATGACCATTCTCATGGATACCATCGGTGACTGTGTCCCTGCTCATCTCACCGCCGTCTGCTTGCGGAGCATCCCCGGGTCGCGCGAAATCACTCTTTGATGTAGCTCTGGATGTGACGTTGCCATACTTTGCCATGTGTCAACCAAGGTAGACTGCACCACACGGACATGCACAATCAAATCGGAATCAGGCTGAGTGACGATAGTGGCGTAAACAAAACAAGGCTGCGCACGACGAAGGCGACGCCGAAGATGCGCTACATACAGTAGCTCGCAACTTATCATAATGTGCACAGTACCAAGAAACATGCTCAACTGTTTGAGACCCCCCCTCGCTGCAGTCGCAGTCTGTATTGTGCTCCTGATACTTATGCCTCGTGACAACATCCTGAGTGAGGAGACTGCCTGTCAAAAGCAAACGCAACACAGCAGCACGCATGCGAGCATTGTCTTGGGCCAGATCTGCTTGCACTCCACGCTGCGTAGAAGCATCAGTTTCGAGCTGTCTCAAATATGCCAAGGTCTCGGAACGCTTGATCCCAACTTGAATGCCACGAAAGTAAGGGCGATCACGCGCAATGCGCCCACTGCGAGCGACGCCAAACAGCTCGAACATGGTCAAGCCAGGCACCAAGTTCATGTTGTGAACGGCGAGACATGTCAGTGACCACCCCTTGGAAATCAGGTAGTGAATCGATTTGTTGCCATGGGACCATCCCGCGCCGTGATGGCGAGTTGAACAGGACGCCGACAACATCGAAGCGTTGACCGGAAACGCCCTTGTGACCAAACGAAAAGCACTTGCCTTGATTGACCTTGGCCCCCAGAAGAGACAGCATCCAGGATCTCGGCCTGCGGGGGAACCTCGTCCTGTAACGCAACCACAAGTTCACGAGGCAGTTCATGCTGATCGTAGACAAAGGACAGCCCTGTAACATGCCACCGTGCAAATCCTGAGGCTTGTCGAGGTTGACCCCTGTTTTATAGCGACGACTTGCATGCCTGAGCATGTACATATACGGGCCAAGGACTGCCTTTGGAAGACACATACGCGAAAGAACTTCACCAAGCAACTCCCTTGGCACACGGTCAAATGCCTTGAGCTCATAGCTGTGATAATTCGGTTAGAGGGCGCAGCTCGCTCGAATCGACAAGTTTATCAGCAGTTTTCGCAGTCAATCAGGTTGACGGGCCAACGCGCATGTGTCTCAGATGACTGCAAGAGATCACAAAGCGAATCAAATACCCAAGGAGCTCCAAAAGCCAAGAGTCTAAGATCCTCGTGGCTCCATGCGTGCAGCCCAGGGCTACTGGCCTTCATGCGCAGCAGATCCTCCCGCAGCAAACAGGCCGGCAAAGGCTTCAACTCAACCTCAACCGGTGTGATGTAACGACCCTAAGCAACAAAGAACTAGCGTCAGGCTCCCCGTTCTTCGACAGATCCGTAACAGCCCGCCATTGTCTGTCAAATGGCATCAAATTGATGCTGAACATTCGCTGTTGGCTTCCCATCTGGACCATGGACACACGACCGAGTCTGTGCAACCGCATCCTGCCTCAGCCAACCGTGTTGAGCGCGCAAGGAACTCTGCAAGGAACGTTTCCACTCACGTAACCGCCTCCACTTCTCCTCATTTTGGAGCGCCGCCAAAGCAGGATCCTGTAAGAGCCGAACACGTCGTGCATTCTCCGCCGAACAGTCACCATCAAGGATGTGAACAACCGGTGCCGAGCGATGAGAAGGCAAATGACGCAGGGCCTCTTTGGCATTACGCCATGTTTGAGATGCCTTGTAGCCTGCGGGACGCTTTTCCAATTCTATCAGGTGCCACGTCCAGACTTAAAAGAGGAGGAGTTTGGTTGCATCTGCAACCAGATTTGTCGCAAATGTCCCTCAGCATATCTGCTCCACATACGATAGCCCATCTCCGACTTGAAGAGCTCTGCCAAAGCCAGAGTCCAAATCAGCAGCCGGGGATGCCAACTCAACGGGCACGTCATCACCATGATTGAGACGTGAATACGTGCGATTGCATAAGACCGTTTGTGAACACACCTCCATGGATATTCCGCAGAACACAAGGCAGTGATCAGCGAACCCTCACCCACCGAGAAAGTTGTGAAACTCATCATAGCGAGCTCGTTGAAGAAAATGTGGTCAATGCTCGAACCAGCGCCCTTGAAACACGTGTGAACGGACGCCTGCCCACAGAAGGTTGGTACATGAAACCATCCCAACGGAGGCATTCTCTGAAGAAGAGGGGAATCATTGAAATAGCCACCAAATACGCAAGGCAACCCACGAGAAGCTGCGTCACCCATGGCATCCTCAACAATCCGACGAGTCCAGTGCTGCAGTTTCAAGCTCCACCTGGCCCTACAGTAGCCATATCTGTTGTGCACCAGCGTTTGTCGGTAGCCATTACCCAAATGCAAAGAAAGCGCTGAAAGGCGCCCAGCGTCAACATGCCGACGCCAAGCAGAATCACAAATGCAAGGAGCCTGGCATGCCAGCACGAACCACGAAAAACAAAAACCAGAAAGCCAACTCCGCCAGCCTTGCCAAAGACAGGAGCGCCCCAAAAGCCTTCGTAATGCCCAAAGGAATGTTCTAAACATCCCTGATGTGCCTGGGTGAGATGAGTTTCACTGATGGCTTCGACATCAGCACCTGTGGATTGCAAAGCACGCTTGCGGTCCTTGTCCAGAACGCCATCCGCGTTAATGAAACAGAGAGATACAAGCTTCTTGCAGGCCGTATTCCCATTGACCACTCGCATGTTTCGCATCCGCCGAGTCACTTAAGTCGTCTACTCTGCTGCTTTTTCGCACCGAAATTCGCACCCATTACTGGCTTCTTAGTGGGGTATAAAAAGTTGCTGGGGGGGTTTCAGGGGGTTCGAGAGAGAAGGCGCCCAGGCAGGGTTTCAGGCTGGGGGGTGGGGGGGTCTGGCATTTTTGGGCGCCCGCTCTGTAGGAGCTGAGGCGGGACCCCCCACCACATCGGTTTGCGATTGGGGGGGGGGGTGGGTTACACAATTTTGTGTGTGTGGGTCGGGTTGGAGGGTTCTCAAGTGGTGTGGGCAACCGGCTTAAACACATGTTTATGTCTGGGGATCGGAAGTTAAAACAGCCCTAGTCAAACCCTCACGGAGGTAGTAGAAAAGGTTTGCTTAACTTGCGTGAAAATCTGGATGTTTACAAGGTAGTCGCCGTACCTATACTCTCCCGATCTGAGCCGTATAGTTACTAAGGCCTGCCAAACCAAGAAACCAGAGCAAACAAAGCCCAAAACAAAAACACGAAACCAAGAAGACCAAACCAATCAATCAAATGACAACGCAAACAACAAAACGCACTTTCTAGACTCTCCAGAGCAACTTCACTCGTAAGTTCCGAAAACATGTTTGTTTTGAGCTCTATTTGTGGTGTGTGTGTGTGTGTGTGTGTGTGTGTGTGTTTGCTTGGTCGTTCGTTCGCTCATTCGAAAATGGTGGGAATGCTCTGACTCCTGATCCCTGTATGGTCCAAAAACATGTGGGTTGTAGCATATGTAAATGGTGTGCATGATACAACAGGCCAGATAGTTTGCCTGATGGTCACTGTTGACTTTAAAGACACTTTTGACGGTTGATGCAAGAACTAGAAAGATTGATGTTTTTTCCGGGGGGGGGGGGGGGGGGGGGGCTGGTTGGCACGATCACCATTGACAACACAACTTCGAGCCAGCATGGAAACTTCCGGATTCTTGCAACCCAGGTGGTTTTGTGAACGGACGAAAGCTGCCGCTGACGGCGCTTGTTTCCTATGCTGGCATGATGCGTGGCGTCAGGCCGGATACAAGCTGGACTGTAAGTCAAGCGGGTAGTTGCCAACATCAAACCTCGTGTGAGCCCTTTTGTTTGGACCATGGTTTGACATCCCGCAAAGTTAGTGGCAAAAAGGCTTGTGCCCTGACGAGCTGCACTGCTGATAGCTATGATGGCTGCTGAACGGAGGATTGGTGGCGACGACGACGACATATCTCCAAATGCGCACAGTCAGGTGGTGCAGCAGCTCGGCTTGCAACTGGACCGTATACGACCTACGCCCTGCAATTGAATTCCATGCATTGGATGGAAGGGATTCCACATTACTAATAATCGTTTTTGAGAGTAGCGGCCGAAGCAGGTGGACACCAGAGGCGGCAGCGCTGAAGGACAACGAGCTCTACGCGGCGATTGCTATCCATCCCGAAACCAATGCCGAAGAGGTTAATATGGAGATGGAAACGGCCCAGGATTCTGCAGCTCTGATGCTATGGGATTCGGCTGTTGGATTGTTGTTGCCTAAACCTTTAATCCTACACTTCGAGCCTCAAACCTGTGCAGACAACTCACAACCCACTCATGACTACAACCTCAGATTGCACTTTGATGTTTGTTCGAGTGCTGCATTTCAAGTTGAAGTGTTTCCTCCCATGTTAGTATTGGTTTTGTTGCTTGATGCGGCAGAATGCGCTTCCTTGTCGAGCCTGAGCCGGAGTGTTGGGCTTTGTTTAGGAATCCTACTGATGAGCCTTGTTTGGAACAGCCGTCGCCGCACTCTAGCTGTGGCAAGAGACCCTTTCGAGGTCACTGCCGACAAGCGCTTCTCAGCTCTTGGACGCAGTGCCTTTGAACAGAGAGGATCCAATTGGGGATTGGGTGGTGCCCTCGGCAAAGCTGGGTTGAGCCTTTGCTGCATTCGCTCAATTCTCTCAATTCGCTCAATCGTGTATGCAGCACTTAAGCCACAGCTTTTGTGTTTTTTTCTCAATTTTTGCTGCCTTTCTTTCCCTTTCAGCCTTTCTTAGGGGAATATCCTTTGGTGGTGGCAGAACCACCTCGAACTCCAATGGCAGATCCAAACAGCAGGAAGACCAAGAGACAAAAAGGCAGAGCTCCCAGAGCCAGAGCTTGTACAAGACGCGTTACTACTTGGAACCACGGCTGCGCCTTCAGCTAAAGCCTGGCATGCTGACCCAAACTGCTGAGTTTGGAAAGGCGATCGCACAGTTGCAAGAGCAACTTTGCCAGGCAAAGAATGAAGATAACCCAGACAAAGACGAGATCTGCCGAAAAACAAAAGCCCCACTTATCAACATCACCACACCCACTCCAAGCATCCGTGGCCAGCGGGTGCTTCAAGTGGTCTTCCTGGTCATGAACATCTCGCATTTTGATCTGGTCGAGCCCAGGTCGAACATGATGAGCCGGTTTACTCGCTTTTTAACGTTCGAATGCGATTAAATGTTTTTTCGTTCAAGCATCGCGACTAAACCCCCCTAAAAGCCCTAAACAAATTGCCCTCGTCAAGAAGTTCGCGAGTAAAAGTCGGCTTCAAGAAAAAGAGGACCTTCAGCCCGAGCTGGGAGCAGCCGCGCAATCCCGCGTGGAGAGCACCCTCCGCAGGCTGGGAGGGAGAAGTGGATGCACGTTCTCACGTTCTCCAATTCTCCACTTCTCCACTGTTAAAAGAACCTGAGGAGAGCGGAGAGAGGAGAGGGGAGAGAGGAGAGAGGATTCACTATGGGAAATCTATGTAGATTCTATGTAGATCTCTGTAGCTAAATCACGAGATGGTTGGCCCTTCCATTTCCCCCCCCGGGGCCTCAACTTTTGAACAAAAATACGAGCACGTAACCTGTTTGTGTACGCTTTCACAGGAACTTGTGGGAGAAATCTCGTAGAATGAAGCAAAAGCGTGGCGCCTTAGGCATCATCGGCATCATTCGGATTCATTGAATCCTTTCTTCAAGTTCGGGTATTCCGGTGGTCCTTGGGTTTTCGCGAGGGCAGGTGCTCTTGAGATCTGGTGGCCACGGCAATGCTCAGCGCCGTCAAATTCTCGAGCCATCGCTTTCTTACCTTTATCCCTAAAAGGAGAAGTGAGCCTAGTGAGGCCCCGACTGTCCTGTGGGCGCCCATTTCGCCTTGTAGGGATGTCTTTCCGTAATTTCGCAAAAGCATTGTCAACAACTCCTTTTTGGTGTTGATTGCTGGAACCCGTCTTGCCCCAGCAGCCCGTGGGAGGACCGTGTGTAGCCCCTTCCCACCGCCTTTTATTGCGAAGCATCGGGCAGCGCCGCGGCGCCGCGTCCTTGGCCGCCACGGGCCGCCGCCGTGGCCTTCAGCCAAGCGGCGTGTGTGACGCGCGCAAACGCATGCGTGCGAACACGCCTGAACGCCCATGCTGACACACTAGGTGGGCACACATGAGGGTGCACACGGACTTTCACTCGCTCCCAAAACGATCTTCAACGATTCAAACGCTGAATGAAGGATTATTGCCAGAGGCTTTCAGAACCGACCCTTTCTAATTTTAATTTTTTCGCATGCTGTGATGCTCAAATGTCAGTTGAGGCACCACTGCACCTACGGAGGTTTTCGAACGTTTTGGTTTTTTCTCCTGAAGAACCAGTATCATTAGCCTTTGTGCTCCCATAGGGTGCTCACGATGTTGACCGGAGGGGGGGGGGGAACCTGGGACCCTGGATAGGTAGCACCCTGGCACAGCTCATGCGCCACAAGCAACTTCTAGTAATTTATCGACACTTACGCTTTAGGTATCGCACTCCCGCTTTGCTCGAGATATGGCCATCAGATGATGTTGGCATTGCATTCCTGCTACATTCCACTTAAGCGCTGTGTACGCTGCTGACATGTCCTATCCAAACTGAACGGTAAGGCGAGGTAAGGTGGTAGTCGTGGCAGTAGCAATCAGTAGCATTAGCTGAGGGTCCAGAGCTTAGGGCGAGCAAAACATGTAGAGCGGACAATCCTTACGAAGCTTGAGCGCGATGTGCGTGTCACACGTCGCAACAGTGGATCCTGAACACACACCGAAACATATTACAAAAGCTATGAACACAGTCAAAGCCTCAGGCATTGCAAGGTTGAGCGAAATGCGGAATTCGACATCGACGTCCAGCTGTCCAAGCCCGATCGTTCCAGAGGCCGTTGTGGGCACCTTTAGGGAGAGTGTGAGGGGGCAAATTTTGGGATTTTGGCTGTTGGTCTTCAGGCTGTTCAGGTTTGACTCAACTCCTAACTTGAGGTCTCCTTGGGCAAAAGTTGCGCATCTCTGGATTATTGGCTGCAGCCTCCTGTCCAGGAGTCAAAGGATCCCGCTGCCCCGCCGTAACGGCTCCCTACACGTCTTACACCTACAGGCAACAAGAAGGCACACAAAAGCGGTGCCTCGCTGAGTATGCGGGAGTGGATCGTAGCAGAGACAGACAAATCTTCAGAGACCTCAGAATCACAGAAAAAGCGCCCCTGTCGGCATCGAGGTGAAAGTCAACCGACTTAACACTAACTAAGAGAATGCCGTCAGGTCCCATAAGGGCAATGGGCACAGCTAACCGAAGGGGCTTCAGCAGATGTCAAATGCAGTCTAAGCCGATTCGACAGGAGTGGACATCTCTCAACATCTCCTGGACCGTGCCGATGTCACGCAGATTCTTGCCACCATGAAATTTGCCAATGAGTCCGCACTCAGCGAGGCTTCAGCAAATCTGAAGTGGGCAGAGTCCCACGGATTCCTGGAGGCTGGCAAGGGTAAATTTCGGGGCCGGGGGTGGGGCAACAGGTAGGCTGTGTTCAGAGTGGAAGCAGCAAGCCCTGATCTTCGCAGATGGATTGCTTGAGAGCGGTGAAGTATACACCTCACATGGCAAGTGCTGTTGTGGATGGCGACATCAACAGCATTAGTATCGATGTCCACAATTGGCCTTTGGCGGTAGTGGAGACCACGATCCCGAAAGTGCAGGACACCGAGGAGGAGGACCAGGAGGGTGAGGGTGCCCCCATCGACGCCGTGGACGAGGAGGACACTTGGGACGAGGAGGACACTTGGGACGAGGAGGATGAGGAGGGCGAGGGTGCCACAACCGCAGCCCCGGGCGAGCTTCAGGACGCCGCGGACGAGGAGGGCGAGGGTGCCACAACCGCAGCCCCGGGCGAGCTTCAGGACGCCGCGGACGAGGAGGGCGAGGGTGCCACAACCGCAGCCCCGGGCGAGCTTAAGGACGCCGGGGACGAGGAGGGCGAGGGTACCCACAACGAATCCTCGGGCGAGCTTCAGCTTGCGATGGCTGGCGAGCCTTTGCAGTGGGCGCCGCAGCCGCCTTCCACTTCGCAGCTTCCAGTTCTGCCGCCTACCACTCGGCCGCCTTCCGGTCCGGAGCCTTCCGGTCCGGAGACGGAGCCTTCCACTTCCAGTCCCGAGCCTTCCACTTCCAATCCGGAGACTTCCACTCCGCAGCCTTCCGCTCCGCCGCCTTCCCGTCAAGAGCTGTTGGAGCTTTTGCAAGATGATATCGACAGCTTACTCTTCACCTTTGGTACTCACATTTGCCCACAAGTGGTGCTTGGAGGCTGGTGGAAGCTCGCCGCAAGCTACCAGAGTATAACCAACCAGACAGGGGTCGACAAAAGCACCGTGTTGTCAGTTGCCATAGAGAAGGCCTCAGCTTCAGCATGGAACTTTCACGGCGGAGTCAGCGCAGCTGGAACCTCTTCAAGGGGCGCGGGTGGCCAGGGTGGCCAGGTTGGCCAGGAAGGAGGGGCGGGCAGTTCTGGAGGGGCGGGCGGCAGCACGGTCAACGTTCAGACCAGCGCCGTAGGCGGTGCCCTTGAGGGCGACATGGGCGGCAACAAAGCCACAAAGGACACCGAGACGACAAGTTCTGGTGAGAAGCACGTCAACAAGGAGGCCTACAAGAACGCAAGCATCGAGGTGACACAAGCGTCACAGCTCGAAGCATGCAGTTTTGCAGTTTCACACTTCATGACTTCATGTAGGCATCCTAGGTTCATTTAGGTTCGTTGTCCAGTGTGGCAACAAACAGCCTCTAAACAGCCCACACAGAGCAGTCCAGGAATGGCGCGGAGGGGCTTCAGGCACATCCCCGGCGGATTGGCGGAGGAGCTTGGACGAGACCTTCAACTCGAACTGGCGGGTCATCGACCGGGAGATCCGCTCTTGCATCGGCGTGGCTCAACCTTGAAGTACAGTTAAATCAAACAGAAATAAACAGAAATAAGCAGAACATCTCTTTGTGTTGTATGTGTTGTACTAGGGTGTTGGTCGAGTAAGGTTTGGACTTGGGTTGACGACGAGGAGCTGCGACTCGGTACTTAGATTGAGACGTTGATCCTTGGAAAGCACCTTTACATTGGTAGTGTTCAGTGCTGCTTAGCCTGCGACCGCCAGCCCTGTCCCCTGTGCTGGAAGCGAGCCTCTCGTCGACAGGCGATCTTTAATATGCGAACGTTGGCTTGGGCTCTATCACGAAGACCTGGGACTTTCGGAAGTCACGGACGAGGTTCGCGACAATGTCTGTCATCGAGATCCTTGGCCAAAAGCGTGTGAGGCGAAGTCTTGCGTAGCTCAAGAGTGCATACATGCAGCAGACGGTTACAAATCATGAGGCTGACGGTTTCCATCGGATGCACCGAAGCCTGCAGATGATTGAGAAGCAATCTTGCTCTGGGAAGGGTTGCCAGGCTACCGCCAATTGCTCTCACGGCTACCAGCTGGTCGACTGCCAAGGAGACCTGGTTGTCAAGACTCTTCAATATGAAGCTCTTTTGGATCATCAAGCGTCCAACATAGACACACCAGCCTCGCAATGCCTCGCAGAGTTTTTCGCCCGTAGGTCAGGGTCCGGCAGTCGGGGGTCATGATGGTTGACGTGTCAAAAGTTCCTGAGTATAGTTTTGCATGACTTTTGGGTCCGAGGTTTAGCAGGGCTTTTTGGATGAATTAGGACCTAGGAGAATTGGACGTCCGAGGACAGGGCTCCTCCATCGGAGTGGCTTTTACGGCGACATCTTGCACAGGCAAGGCCCATCACAACATCGGGGCTACGGTGGAGGCACTGTGCTTTCGCTCAAATCACACGGTCTTTGTGAGGAAGAGGAATCTTCCGTCCGAACCCCGAACGCAGCGTATGCGTGACCCTGTGGAATGTCCTCCTGGGCTTTCTGCTCGTCTATGTACTCAGCAATGTGGGTTTCCTGGTCAGCTACAGTCAGGGAACAGATGCACTGAGACTCGGGACGAGGCTCGCATCCAACCCATCGACGGCCATTGCCCGTCAATGTGTGAGAGCGACGAATGTCCAGCCGTGACCCTTTCCGCTCTTTGCTACCCGGAGAACGTCCAGACCCGCGGATTCAACATGCCCAATATCTAAGAATTTCAATCTTGAGTGATGTTTGCAGATTTCAAGACTGCCCTTTGCGGAAGGTGCCAAAGACTTATACCATCTTGAACCCAGAATTTGCGAAAAGGCAAGTTTTGCGCAGATGCTGAACGGCTGCTTCCAGACCTCGCTTGTTTTGTAACTGCAAGGGAAGCATCTGACTGAAACGATGGTTCGGAAACGGCTTTTCTGCATCGTTTGCACCTAATTTGTGGATCCTGGTGGACAGTCGCCGTAATAGGTTGAAGAGCCCCAGAAGGAAACAACAGGGCCAGCCATGACCTGCATAGCACAAGTGCTTGCTTTGCCATCTGGCAGCATACGGTACCAACCTGTGCCATACTTTAACCGCAGAAGCAAGAGCTTAAAAAGTTTGCAGTTCCTGCACCGCTGATGCGGGTAGAACGGCTGCTTCCAGACCTTGCTTGTTTTGTAACTGCAAGGGAAGCATCTGACTGAAACGATGGTTCGGAAACGGCTTTTCTGCATCCGCCTGATGCCGTAATAGGTTGAAGAACGGCTGCTTCCAGACCTCGCTTGTTTTGTAACTGCAAGGGAAGCATCTGACTGAAACGATGGTTCGGAAACGGCTTTTCTGCATCGTTTGCACCTAATTTGTGGATCCTGGTGGACAGTCGCCGTAATGGTTGAAGAGCCCCAGAAGGAAAACAACAGGGCCAGCCATGACCTGCATAGCACAAGTGCTTGCTTTGCCATCTGGCAGCATACGGTACCAATCTGTACCATACACCGCAGAAACAAGAACTTAAACAGTTTGCAATTCCTGCACCTCTGATGCAGGCAGTCGTCCGCAGAGAGCACGAATTGAAGGTTCGATCCTTTCTTTCTGCTGGTCTCGGGCGTTTAGGTTCCCAAGTGACAGGATGATTGATGACGAAGCGGGTCCGTCAAACACCATGTTAGAAACCATGTAGAAAGCAGTCGCTCCCACATATCAAGCAGCAGGGGTTTATTGTTGTGCTCGGTTGTTATGATCTCTTTGTGAAGATGGCCTAGACGTTGACAGGTTGGCGACTTCTGAGCTAACCGGGGGGGGGGGCTTCAAGATGTTCCCCCCCCCCCCCATCCCCCGCCCTCCCCCCATCCCCCCCTCCCCCCATCCGCCCCCTCAATTCCGGTGAAGGCGTGGATGTGCTGGAGCACTTATAGGTCAGTATCAGGAACAATGGGGGGATGCCTGGCAGGACGGAGACTGTACTGTGGTTGGTGGGGGGCGGTGGGGGTAGCGGTGGGGGTGGTGGAGGCGATTATACTGCGAACGTTCTGTTTCGAGACCGGGACGCTGTGGGAGTGCACTTTTTTCTATTTGTTTAAAGATATTAAAACACTCTCACAGCGTACCCGTATTTTATATAAACAAAATCACGAGTCATGCACAACATGCACGTGAGCCAACACAAAGCAGCGATACGGTGTTTGTCCTGTCCCCGTTTCCAAAATACATGGGCAAACTTTATTGGAATCCTAGAAACAACAATAGGAGTCCTCCATTTAAACCCGTAGGAACCCTATTTTGAATTAGTCGGAGCCGTAAAGTCAATAGGAAGCCTCTTAAAATGAATTGGAGGCCCCTCACAAAAAAAGAGAATCCTCGTAGAACGAATAGGAATCCTATTAAACTGAAGAGGGACCCTGCTACAATTCATACGAACCAATCGGACTCATAAAAAAATAATGTGAACCCTTAGAAAAATAATCAGAATCCTACTAAAAATGAATGAGCCTAAACCAATAGGAACCCCTATAAAAATGAATGAGATGTTTATCAATATATATACGAATCCCATTAACATGAACAAGAATCTGATTAAAATTGATAGGAATCTTATTGCATGAGTAGGAGCCTTTTTCAAATAACTAGGAACCCTATGAAACTCTATTGGAATCCTATGAAAATGAATAGGAATCCTCGATTGAATTATCGGAACCGGATAAGAGTTAATAGGAGGGAAGCATATTAAATTAAATAGGAACCCTTGACAAATCAAAAAGAGCCCGGGTTACAATTCACTGGAATCCTATTAAAGGAGAAGGAATCTTACTAAAATGAATAGGAACCAATAGGCCTGAAAAACAATAGAATCCTTTAACAAGAACTAATAGGAATCCTACTAAAATAATATGAGCCTAATTTCTTAAATTTAATTACAAACCTTTGCGGACTGCGAGAAGTGCCTAACAACACGTTTTTCTTCTGTTTTGTGTACAGCATGTCGGCCACTGTCGCTCACTGTCACAGTACCGGGCTTTCAGCGAATAGCGGCCTGTAGTCTGAGGGTTGCTATCTTCGACAAGCTCTGGACGAAGCTTGAAGCTGTTCTGTGCTAGTCGGGCATGCGATCTGCGTCCATTCGCATCTCTCTTTTCTGTCACGTACCTGATTTTTCTGACTTCTTCATGGTCGCATCTTGAGGGCGACTCAATTTTGTTGGATCTTCTTAGGGCGCTCACATGCTACGGCCACTCGAGCTAACTTCGTGGCCAGTGCGGGGTGATGGGTCTTTTCTTTCTTTTCTTTGCTGCTCTTCTGAGCAGACAGATCCATAACTCTACACTGCAGTGGCCTGTGCTGAGAAAACACATCAGCAAATGCAATGGAGCCTCTCGGAAGCAATGACAGGCATATTGCTGAGAAGGCGTGCCTAGCTTGATTGCAGGGCTGAGGCAAGCAAGGCGCAGGACCTATGCATGCGCAGCTGGGGCAGCTGTTTTTGTCAAAGACAAGCCCAGCTGAGCATCAGCTTAGCAGTCCCGCATGTGAAGCCCTCCCGCCCAACCCTGGGTCTTTTCTTTCTTTTCTTTGCTGCTCTTCTGAGCAGACAGATCCATAACTCCGCACTGCAGTGGCCTGTGCTGAGAAAACACATCAGCAAATGCAATGGAGCCTCTCGGAAGCAATTGTTTTTTAAGGCTTTTTTGCTTTGTTGGGTATTTTTTTGGTTTTCTTGCACAAGAATCCCCAAAAAACCAAAAGAACCAAAAAAACCAAAAAAACCAATCCTGAGAGACTCTTCCCAGGGGTCCGGCTCCCCAGCAGAGTCCCTCAGGATTGGTGTTTTTGTTTTTTTTGGTTTTTTTGGTTTTCTTGCACAAGAATGCCCAAAAAAACCAAAAAAACCAAAAAAACCAAAAAAACAAAAAAAAACAAAAAACCAATAAAACCAATCCTGAGAGACTCTTCCCAGGGGTCCGGCTCCCCAACAGAGTCCCTCAGGATTGTTTTTTTTTTTTGGTTTTTTTGGTTGTCTTGCACAAGAATCCCCAAAAAACAAAAAAAACCAAAAAATCAAAAAAAATCAATCCCAGGGGTCCGGCTCCCCAACAGAGTCCCTCAGGATTGTTTTTTTTTTTTTTTTTTGGTTTTTTTGGTTTTTTTGGTTTTCTTGTTGTTTTGTGTTTTTTGGTTTGTGTGGGATTTGTTGTGTATTATTTCTTGTTGCACGTTTTTCGTGTGTTTTTTTAAGGATGTTTTAAACGTTTTGCGCGTTTTTTTTTGGTGAAAAAGTGCACTCCCACGGCGTCCCATTTTCTCTGTAAAAGATAGGGGCAGCAGAAGGGTGGTGCAGTCCGTGATCGCGCTCGAGGCAACGGGCTGCGTGACTTACGCGGTGAGGCGGCTGTGCTCGCGCCTGGCTGCGTGTCCGACCCATTCTCCTATGGCTCGCTATAGTCTTGGGACGTACTCGAAGTCAGGTTGAACGTGAGCTCTGGGGATTCGGGAGAGTTTAGGCGGACAAGGCTTTGGGCAACGGTCCAGCTGCACCGCGGCTAGTGTTTTTTGGGGCTCTGTCGGTTGCTTTAGGGGGGGGCGGTGGCGTTGGCCCTTTCGGGGTAAGCGGGGTGCACATCGGGAAGGAGCCCTCAGCGTGTCAGCAGGGAGGGCGTCCTTTGCTCGCAATTGTTGCAGCAGTGCCGGCAGGCCATACGGGTGCTCATGGGGAGCCCTGTCAGCCTGATCCGGGAGCAGACTAACCTGGGGCGTCGGCCGATTTCCAGTCACGGCCTCCAGGTATTTGTATGCACCGTCGGCATCCGTCATATGCTGATACGCTGCTAAATAAGCGGCATGTGGCTACGACGAATCTGCCAAATATCCACGGACTTGCCGGGCCGTTCTATCGCAACCTGGAGGCCGCAGCGCTTCCTGAACCCAGGGCTGTCTACACCTTCGCTCAGGATCATCCATATCCTGGACAGCCAACACGCTGCCAAGCTCAAGGCGCTCGAAGGGAGTAGCCCCCATGCTGCGATGCTCTGGCTGACTTACCGGTTTAGGGGGGAGGCTGAGTTCCCGACAGGCCTGATCATTTTCTTGCTTGGCAACGCCGGGATAGCTGCAGCTCCAGAGGCTGGATGCTTGCCTGGCAGAGTCAAAGGAAGGAATGTGACCCTGTGTAACAAGGGCGATCGCTTGGAAGCAGTTAACTACCCCATCACGAAAAGGGGGATACTACTTGGCTCTGTTTGGTGACTTTGATACTGTGAACTGCAGCCATGGATTTGCACCCAGGCCGGTACAGCTATCTCAGTTTTCAGTATAAAGATACCCTAGAAAACCCTGTACCTCTACCCCCTAAAACCCTAAACCCCCCCCCCCCCCCCCACCACTCCTCCAAGGATGCTGACCAGGACTGCTGCATCCCGAAGTTCAGCGGCATCTCGCCTTTTTTCGGGTTTGGTGTTGAGGGCTGAGAGCTGAGGGTTAAGGATTTCGGGGGGTGGTTCGGGTTTAGGATTTGGGCCAAGGGGCCCTTGCAGGTTCTGGGGTGTTGCCTTACACACCCCTGGAGCCTAGGCCCTAGATGCCCAAGTCTATGTACGTCATTAAGTTCTCGAAACGATGGTGCCTTTGTGTACCGCAACTAAAAGGGCTCATTGTGTTAGGTCCTTAGGTGTCCCGCTGAACTCATACACACCTAGAGACACCCGTAGTCCTCAACGAATATTTATCTTACATCACATGAGGATCCGACATGAGGATCCGATTGCAATTGAAGGGATATTCCTTAAAGAAGGGGTGTTGGAGTCTTTGGCCTCAAGCCGTTAACCGCCTTAACGCTGAACCTGGGTGCCTCTGTCCTGTTCCTGCTGTCAGCAGCATGGGTGCCGCAGTGGCACAGCGATGTATTCAAACATGGTTTCAATAAAGCGATCCCCTTGATGCACCCAAAAATATACTTCAATCCTTATTATATCGCCCAAATACCATATTAAACTAGGGTCTAGGAATAGAATCAACATCTGAAAGATGAAGCCGAGAGAAGACGATAAATGGAAGGAGAGAACGAAGGAGAGAACGATACATTCCTACTCCATTCCCCAAAACACCCTTCATATTAGCCGCTAGACCCCTCTTAGTGTTGACTAAGTACCCGGCCGTGCACGAATCCAAAGCCATACGAAAGCAGTTTGACAATCAGGGGGGCGAGGGTTGGTTCTGGGGGCCAGGGACCCTAAGCCCTAGGTCCTGAGCATCTATGGCCCCAGGTGTTTTGGCGAACAGTTGCCCCAGGCCATGCACGCCCGCACTAAAAGGGTCGTGGGAACAAGACGTGCATCCAGCAGCCCGGCACGGTTAGCGTTTAGGGTTTAGGGTTGCGGGAATTTTGGGAGGTCCAGCCTCTTTTTTTTGTGCTTTTTCGGGTTTGAGGATTTAGCTTCCATTATGAGCGTCTTTAAACAACAAATTCCGACACGCTTCGCGGAACTTGTGCCTGGGGGTCTCAACGCGGAACTCATGCATTTTGATCTTTCACGTCTCTTGCATAGCATTCAGCATGGCACACATGTTGTGTCTGTATTGGTGCAACCAGCCCGCAGCTTCAGTTGCCGAGTGAGTAGGTGTCAGGGCGAAGTCTTCGGCGATGATGCTTCGTTGCATAGCTGCCGCAATTTGTGTGCTTGGCGCTAGGTCCGCAGAGCCAGAGCTAGCATGTCTAGGATGTGAAGAGGATTCGGATGTCCTTGTTCAGACCCTTCTGAGCGCACAGCTTCTGGACACAGACAATCTCCGCCCGGCGATTCACCCGATGCCTGCCACACACGCCTCCGACGGCAACGGGGGCAACGGGAACATTATCATAACAAGCCGCCCCAAACCCGGCCCCAACGCAAAACCAAGACCCGCTCAACCAGACTGGTCCGGGACTTTGAGGGTTGGTCTTGATGGCATTGTGGAGCTGCTCCGCATGATCCTGAAGGGCGCCGATCGTATGGACATCTTGAGGGCAACAGCTCGGATTGCCAACAAGCTGGTCGAAAATCCTACCAGATTTTTCCACCCGCTCTCCGGCACTCTTGCCGGAGCCTCAATCGACGTTCTCATCCAAGTTGTGGGCGAGGATGAATGGAGGAAGCACGAGGTGCACAAGCCCGAGGACCCATCGGTTCGGGAGATAATCAGCAAGTTCAAGGACGAGATGTTTGAAGAGACCAAGGGCCTGCTTCACGATGAATTTCGGGTTCCGGAATCAGTCAAAGATGCTTTCGTTCTTGCAGTAAAAACCCAAAACCTGCAGCTTGACGTCCTTCGCAATGAGCACGATGCGGATCTGAAAACGGAGCACCGTGAGTCCTTTGAACGCGTGATCCAAATGCTGGGCCATGCCAGCCTTGACGCAATGGGAGGGTGCCGGACGGGCAACCTTCAGGAGCCCAAATGCAAAAGATGGATCGCACTTGGTGGTCCTGTGCTGTCCTTGATGTTCATGCAAGTGCATTGGTCCTTTCTGATCGAATATTTCACTCACAATCCGACAAAGCTTCAGGAAGAATTGCATCATCTTTTTGACGCCTACGGTAACTACGTCCTCCTCGACATGCATTATGAGTTCGAGAAAGTCCGAAGGTCTTCCTTCAAGGCCTCCTATTATTACACTCTCACCCAGAACGGCAAGAATGCAGACTGCCATGCGGATTTCAGAGATGAGTTTGAGGACAGAGATGATGGCTTTTCGCGTCGGTGCTGCCAGCACTCAATGTTCAGTGGCTGGTCTGAACTCATCGCAGGTGGCTGTGTTGGTTGCAGTTCCGAGTGGTGGCGTACTACTTTTTGGAGTGGTTTCTACATGAGCTCGGGCCCCTCGTCTTTTTCTCATAGCAAAGCGATTCTTCGAAGTTAGCTCGTAGATAGCCTTCCTCAAAAGAGAGGTTGTTCGGCGGATTATGTGGGTGGAGAGCTCCGCGAGGCCTTGAAGGACACCCCCAGAGGCCGCGTGAAAATCCCGGAATGGGAGCAGAAGAAGGATGATGTCGAGAAGAAACTGGACAGGCTGTTTAAGCTGATCAACAGGATCTACGGCTCCTTGCCGGAAAATGTCGGACATGCGTTGCTGACATTTTTTTTGCAGGTCCGTGTGCGTGCGTGCATGCGTGCGCGTGCCGCGCGTGCGTGCGCGGGCTTGCGCGCGCTTGCGTTCGTGCGTTTGTGTGTTTGTACGCGCTTGTGTGTGTGTGTGTGTGTGTGTGTGCGCGCGCTCGCGGGCGGGCGTGGGTGTGGGTGGGGTGGGTGTGGGCGTGGGGGTGTGGGCGTGGGCGTGGGCGTGGGCGTGGGCGTGGGCGTGGGCGTGGGCGTGGGCGTGGGCGTGGGCGTGGGCGTGGGCGTGGGCGTGGGCGTGGGTGTGGGCGTGGGCGTGGGCGTGGGCGTGGGCGTGGGCGTGGGCGTGGGCGTGGGCGTGGGTGTGTGTGTTGTGTGTGTGTGTGTGTGTGTGTGTGTGTGTGTGTGTGTGTGTGTGTGTGTGTGTGTGTGTGTGTGTGGGACACCCCTGGGTTTTAACTGCTTGCTGTTTCACAACATTGCAGGGGCCAGGCCTTCAGTTGCAAACCTGGTCCACCGAAGCTGTGCAACTGAAGGGACAGCCTTGGGAGACGTCTCAAGGTGTACCTGCAAAAAGGAAGGCCAAATCCCAAAACAACCCAACATGCTGTTGTGTCTGTCATTGGCCAAAAACTGATGCAAGAGAGTTCTGTAGTTTTGATCGGAGCCAGAAGCTCAGTTGGTATCGTTGGCATCGTTGGTATTGTTGATGCTTTGCACGGAGTTCGCTCTGTTGCTTGTTCCCATGTGTGTGTGTGTGTGTGTGTGTGTGTGTGTGTGTGCGTGTGTGTGTGCGTGTGTCTGCGTGCGTGTAAATGGCATCAGCCTTTGAGACTTAGGCCGCGGCCTCATTGTCCACAGAATCGAAGAAAATTGCGGAGATTGCAAAAGCCATCCATTCTGCAAAACTCTGGACCCAAACGAAAAGTTGGTGTATGACGACAATGGACGTCACTGGGAGGACAGCTTCATCGAAGGCGTGCCCCGAAAATTAGGAAACACTGCGTACCTCGAGGAAGCCCAAACCTAATCTCCCTCATTATCAATCTACCATATGCTCAGTAGAAAGTCCATGTTTCTGGTGTGCACGTGAAGGCAGTCCGCTTGCGGAATGGGGGAACTGCAGCAAGCTTGACGGAAAGCCCTTGGTTACAACGAAAAATCGGCGTTTCTACTTGGTTCAGAAGGCAATGCTTCACGAGTTTCCCGCTTGCTTTCCGTGTGGCGCCACCGACTTCTGTGACAAAGCCAACTTCTTCCCACTCGTGAGCTCGTACGAGATTGGAGCACCTCTTTCTGAATGGGGGTGTGACAGAGTGGCTTGGATACCATGTCTAATGTTTCGCGTTTGTTCTTGGTGAGACACCTGCAAATTGCCTGCAAAACCATGTGTCCGTTACAAAGTCGACTCAGTAGACACATGCACATAAAGGTTTGTGGCAGCCTAGCATCACCTTGCAGAGCCCCGCAATGCAACCATGTAAAGAGCCTTATCAAGCCTCCCGGTCCTTCTCGTTCTTCCTTCGATTTGTTGGGTGCCAAGGTTGGATTCGGCATGGTAGTCAGCCCTTCTGACCAATGGACAGCATTATACCTTGTGAATTTTGATGAGTGATAGGCAAGTTTCCAGGTTTCAGAACTCGATTCTGAAGGTAGTCTCTGCTGCCTGGTCACACAGCCAGGCAATGTGGAAGCTGTTAGATTCCGGAGCAGAGCAGACAGTCTCTCCTTCGTTCGAATTTGACGACGGAGGTAGCGTCGGCCGAACTTGCCGAACAGCTGTCTTAAAGTGCGATGAAGTTCACGCTCCGAGCTGAAAAGCAGCTTCTCTGCATCGTTTACACCTAATTAGTGGATCCTGGCGGACCGTCGCCGAATAGGTTGAAGAGCCGCAGAGGGTCCTGCAGGAAAACGGCTGTTTGAGTCTTGCTTGGGTATGCTTTGCGTGCCATCTGGCAGCACCACAACGGATGGAAAGAAGCGAGATTAGCGAGATTCGGCTGAATTCGCCTGCAATTCCTGCAAGACCGACCGGATCTTTTTTTGATGTGACGCAATATTGCACAGATGCTGAAAGGCTGCTTCCAGGCCTCTCTTGTTTTGTAACAGCAAGAGACTCTAATCTGAAGCATCTAGCTTGATTCGATTGGAAACGGCTTCTCTACATCGTTTGCACCAAATTAGTGGTTTCTGGCGGACAGTCGCCGTAACAGGTTGAAGTGCCGCAGAGGTTTGCAGGAAAACGTCAGAGGACTGTTTGAGCCTGAGCCCGTTGCGTTGCTTGATGTTGCTCGTGTATGTTTCCGGCGGGCCATGGATTCCAGTAGACGTGACCTGGTGCAGACTGGTACAGAGCTCGCAAGCTACTTTGAACGTATGCGCCTGCACAGTAGGTCTGGGTGTCTTGGTGGTAGCCGGCTTCGCGGACAGTCGCTGTAGTAGGTTGAAGAGCCGCGCAGGCTGTGCACGCTCAGAGCCGGTGCAGATTTGACACAGTGTTGCACAGGTGTTGAAAGGCTGTTGCCAGAACTCGCTCATTCTTGTACCAGAAAAGCAACATTAGCCGAAGGTATGCAACCGAGATTGCATTCTGAGCGAATTCGGATCGGCAACCCTTCCAGAGGTTTTGTGGAACGATGATTCTGAAGAGGCTTTTCTACATCAATTAGTATCATGTAGTGGATCCTGGTGGACAGTCGCCGTAACAGGTTGAAGATCCGCGGGAGAAAACAGCCGAGGGCCGGTGATCCTGAGCTGTGTAGCGCAAGTGTGGTCCTTTCATGCGTGGACTGCTTGGAAGGCTTCTGTCCTGGACAAGGATACGCAGGGTGCGCAGAGCCTCAGCGTGCTGCGCCTAATCTAATTACGGATTGTCGACCTGCCTTTTGGACTCAGGCTCGGGTCAAAGAAAGCGGGCAGCGCAGACCTGTACCCGGAGACTTGGCTGACTTTTGCAGGGGGGGGGGTTGGTTTTCTAGCAAAGCTAGACGTTTTTGAATTGGGTTCCTAAACCTCAACCCAGAAGCCCTGGGCCCGGAGCCCACTCAGGCTTTAGGTTGTTTGGGATTTTGGGTGCTTAGTGCAGTTTTTGGGTTCGGGGTGTCTGGGCGTCAGGGTTTTTGAGGGGCGCAAGGGCTGCTAGGGTTATTAGGGTTAGAGTACGGTTTAGCTTCATTCAAGGTCTAGGAGTCTAGGGTCTTTAGGCTTTAAGGTTTCAGGTTTAAGGTTTCAGAGTTTTTGGGTTTGGCAAGTTGAAAGCTTTTGGAGTTTGATGTTGTGAGTGTTTAGTGTCAAGGACGACGTATCTTTTGGAAGTCCTACTGCCCCCCTGCCAGAACTACAGCAGCCTCGTCAAAAGCTTCCAGTAAAACGTGGGTCTTTTCCGTGGCTTGGTCTGGCCAGCTGCTGGCGGTTGGCGTCCAGGACAGGAAGGTGCAGGTTTATGACGACGAGCAGGCGGGATGGGCAAAGGGAGGATCCGACAAGGGGCCAGTTGGCCAAAAAAGTGGAATCGACACTTCCTGCAATGTCGGGCAACCTGCTGGGTTTAGTCGCGTCAGCTCGCAGCATGTCTCAACTCTTGTGGATTTTAAAGGAAGCATGACGCACACCTCCACAGGGGCCCTTGTTTTTTGCGAGTAAGCGACGGGCGTGGACGCGCATGATAATTACCTCCCATTAGACACTCCACATAGTTCCGATAGGACTACAGCCTCGTCGCAACCCTCACGGGCGCTACAAACGACATTGAGTCCATGGCTTGGTTTGGCCGGCTGCTGGCGGTCGGCGGCAAAGACTCTGCGGATCTACGACGGCGAGCAGGCGGGATGGGTCCGACAAAGTCGGCCAAACAAGCGAAAACAAGTGGAATCACGGCGTGTCTCAACTCTTAGGTTCGACTTCAGGAAGGCCTGAGCAGCCTAAGCAGTGAAGGAGTCTAACTTCCCGACGGACATTTTTCTTGGCGCAGATGCCCAAAACTGCAACGGGACTCTGTGGCGGAAGCTCCGCGGAAGCTGTCTCTTCATAGCTCCCGGGGTTCATCACCAGTTTCTGCACCAGACAGCTACTGTAAAAGCATGTCGACACATGACAGAACTTACAACCTCTAGTGACACTCCTCTCCAGGACTTAGCCTTACCAGCCCCACACACACTCCGGAGTCCTCCTAGGGGAACCAGGAGTAGTTCATCTTCCAGTGTGCGCAAGAGTCATGTTAAATCACAAACCTTACTCCCACGTTGTTCTCCCTCTCCCCATCTCCCCATCTCCCCATGTCCCCATGTCCCTATGTCCCCATGTCCCAATGTCCCTCTGTCCCTCTCTCCCTCTCTCCCTCTCTCCCTCTCTCCCTCTCTCCCTCTCTCCCCCTCTCTCCCTCTCTCCCCCTCTCTCCCTCTCCCCCTCTCCCCCTCTCCCCCCCTCCCCGTTTCTCGCTTTATCTCTTTGGTATGCAGGCGAGGGGGGGGGCTGTACGGGGGTGTGGGGTGGTGAGGCGCGGGTGTGCGCTGGGGCTTTCAGAGCTTCTGAACAGGTCAAGGAAAGAAGGGGGAGATGAGACCCTTTATCAATGTTTCAATAGGTCAATAAAGAGGTGGGTGGGGCGACAAAAGCAAAAGGGACCAAAGGCTTCACTGCCGCCGCTCGCGCCAAGGATCCGCGAAATCAAAAGCACAGCCGAGGTGCGAAAAAGCGACGGGCATGACATCTCAAGTCTGGCATATGAGACACCCGTACTCGCAGGTGTTTGGACAAACGGAAGCCGACGGAACAGGAAACGGCATGACAGATTCCTCATGATCCCTCTCGCAAGCGGGGCCCCTGAAACAGGTTTGAACATGTTTGAAACCACCTAGCTGTGACCTTGGCTGGCAACATCCGTCTCAGATTAGGCATGATGAGGCCATAAGGCGATTGGCTAAGACTGGCTAGAGACTGGACCCGCCGTTTCCTGTTGTGCTGGTGGTGCCAGGACTACAGCCTGATCAGAACTCTCGAAAACCCGCCCTACCATGCCGTGTCCGTGGCTTGGTGAGGGCACACACTTCAACTGGGGCTTGTTGATTGAATTCAGCGACGCCTCGCAAGCGGGTGGGGGCCTGTTGTTTTTTTTCTGGAGTTTTGGGGTGCTCTTGCTTGCCTTGCCGGCAGTGCAACGCATTGCCTTTGAACGAGGACACAGAGTTCTTCATGATTGGAATGGACGACATTAGTCTCGTTCTTGGCGGCCCGAAAGTAGCTAAACAACTTGCCAGGCTCCTGCCCCTCCTCATGTCTGGCAAAGGCACGGGCGACAACGGCGCCGGCGACAAGGGCACGGGCGACAAGTGCACGGACAAGAAGGAAAGCATTCTCCCATATTCTCCCCATTTTCGTTGCCACTCGCCCCTGTGGAGAATGCAGTTGCGGAGGGCTGAGTGAGTTTGACTTCGGCTTCAGCAGGGGATTGCCATCCTTGTGGCCATTTGCAAGTCGAGAAAAGCACTTCTTCAAAACAACTGGAGGTTGCCTCGGCACATGTACTCCCCTGCAGGAAGCAGGTGAGAGCTGTGATTCCTGCACAGCTAACGAGGCTTGGGTGAAGCTACCGTGGCTCGAGGTGGACAATCTTTGCGACTCTGAAGATTGCCGCTGCGGCACGTGTGCAGATGATAGAAGCAAGCTGGCAATTGCTGAGGGCTGTTCCAAGAATGCTGACTGCATGTCTGACGATTGCATGAGGGAGACCTTGCTTGGAAGTAGGGCAGGTTGTTGCGTTATCGCTTTTTCCCAGAGAGTCGTATCAGAGCAATCCGAGTGTTGCATTGCTCAGTCTTGATAGAAGGAAAGTCGGCACACTTACAACAAACATTCCACCCTCAACCTGCAGCATTTACTCGTCTACTTCAAGAGCACTCACCCTGGTTATAGCTCAACCAACATCACAAACAACCACCAGAGGGTTTAGAGGTTTAGAGAGTTCAGAGGGTTTAGAGGGTTTAGGGTGTGGGTTGGGGGGTTTCGAGCAAAGCCTTGAATTGGGTTTTCGAAGGCTTAAACTCGGAAGCCTATAACTTGTCGCGCTTCACAGACCCCTGGCCCTGACCCCAAACCCGAATCCAAAATAACCCCTTACAAATAGCCCTGAAACTCCGTGCCAAAGTGGTGGCCAGATAGTCATCTTTCGCTTCTAAAGGGACCGCAGGTTTAATGGGGCAGTGTTTATAAGGGTTGAGGGGGGAGAACCATTTGAGAGAGCGTGACCCTTAACCCGGTAGCTCGTAAACCCCAAAATCCAACAACGAATGCCGAGGAGCTTGCGCTTTGAACAAGAGCCTCCACTCCGCGGCATCTTCATCTTCCCCATCTTTGACAATCAAGCACAAATTGCTGACATCAAATCGTACACCTTGCTATGCCTCGTATAGATACCGACCCACCGAAGGCCATACAATTCAGTAAACAATACAAATTTCTTCAAGATCGATTTATCTCCAATCCTTTATTCTCGACCCACCGAAGACTTTCCAATTATATATATTTGACAATCCAGCACAAACTACTGGCAACAAATCGTACTTCTTCTCATCTTTGACAATTAAGTACAAATTGCTGGCAACAAATCGTACTTCTTCTCAGCTTTGCCAATCAAGCACAAATTGTTGGCAATAAATCGTACACTTTGTCGTATAATTTTCGATCTACCGAAGGTAATATAATTAAAAAAATATTTAAATTTCTCAAGGTCGAGATATTGTTAATTTTTTAATCTCGACCCATCGAAGACTTTACAACTACATAAACGACTTGACTTTCTTTTAGATCTATTTTCGATCTGTAAAATTTAAGGCTTATGATTTAGGGTGTCGGGTTTAGACTTATTTGGATCCCCGACACTGATTATTTTGATTATACGTATCGTCAGGGAATCATTGAAGATTTTGTAATTTGCAAAATTTTTAAATATGGAGAAGATGAATGGAATTTTTCATTTGGTTCAGGGAATTTTTGAAAACCTCGGACGATGATTGAAATTGGAGAGTACTTTCGAACGAGGAGAATATGAATTTAAAATCTTCATTTGATTTTTGATTTGACAATGATTCTTCGATATATCTTAGATCTTTCATAGAATTATATTTGAGATTTTCATAGATATCTAGAATCAATTGAAATTCAAAATAATGAAATCTTTAATTTTGGTTTCATCATGATTTAGGGAATCATTCAAAAAATCTCATAATTCGCATAATTTTAAAATATCGAGAATATGATTTGAAATGATCATCTGATTTAGGATTCGGCAATGATTTTTTGGAAAATCTTAGATTCATGGAATATCTGAACTTTCGGAATCACCCGAATTGAGGTTTAGGTTTTCTGGGTTGGGAATAAAGGTTCCACTACAACAATGATGACGTGGGTGCCCTTTGAAAATTCCTGGAATTTTCGGGACCCCGGGTTCAGGATTTAAGGATTTTACGGTTTAGGGTTTTGGTTTAATAGAAATTGTATAGGGTTTGTGTCCGGAGTTTTGTCGAGTTTTGGGGGGTTTTGTTTTTTGTTGTAATGGTTTGGGTTTTGTCGGGTGCGGCGGGGGGTGGGTGGTTTTGGTGGGTTGAGGGATTGGGGTTGGGGGTCTGTGGTTGAGGGGTTGGGGTTTGAGGGGCTAGGGTTATTGAGGGCTTGAACTGAGGAGGGGCTGAGAGGGCTTATTGAGGGATGGGGGAGGAATTATTGAAGGGAGTTGCTGAAGGAAGGGGTTATTGAAGGGAGGGGTTATTGAAGGGAGGAAATATTCACTTTCTCTCATTCCATCTTCCTCGTTTCTTCACTCTTTCTCACTCTCACTCTCACTCCCACTCTCAATATTATGATTTTTTCATTTGGATGATATTCTAAATTCTTGGACTAAACCTAAGACCCTAAGGCCCTTACATCTCGTCCTTGCGTCGCCTTACGCCGTGCTAGTGATTAGCCATATCGGCAAATATATTAATGGAATATAATATCGATAAACTTTTCTAAAATATTATATTATATATCGTATAATGGAATATTCTAGAATTAGAAATTTGCCTAATATTAGAATTTAAGATTCTTAATCCTCATATTCGTCCTTACGCTATAGTAAATCTTGGCGCCATAATAATACGAAAATAATATATATGAGATGGCCCCAAATAATCACGAAAGGAAAGAGATTTAGAATAATATCCAATTGGCATAATATATCCAAAGATTTTCCAGATTACCGAAATAAATAATCGAAATATTATCATCATAACGACAATCCCGACTCCAAACCCCCAAATAACCCCACAAAATACAAAAGTCCTCAATCCTCAATAACCCCATAACAGCCCCTCCGTTCTCTTCACTTATAATATTATGAGAAGCTCGCGCCTGTAATAATATTATAGTGTGAGAACGAAACACAACGAAGTAAAACGCACAAAGATAATAAAATTCACGCGCTTATTTCATTCGCTTGTAATTTCATTATACTATTAGTGCGTGTACTTCGTGCATGTGTAACCGCTTCTAATGTATCACCTGGTTAGTACTAAATAACCTCTCTCCGGCTCTTGGCACTCACATCCTATTAACCGTGTATTCCTGGTACTATATTATAAGGAGATTTCCCTAGACTTATTGATGCCTTATCAATAGATTTATTATATTCCCCGGGCCCCTATTATTCTCTTCATTTCGCCCGGGATATGAAGATAATAAAATAATGATGGGTAGTGGAGGCGTGGGGAAATCTATGGTATTCCATAATGATTTCTACTTCTGTCAATCTTTCTTCGAAATAATATCTCAGATTAAGAAGATAAACGATTTGAGAAAAATCATGACCCTATATCTGTTGTGCGTGGGGACCCTTCCAATAGTATTATAGAGTCCCAAGTTCCCATGGCCACAAATGCGATTTTTCGGGGAAAAAGATGTCGTGAGGCCGTAACAAGGCCACAATAGGCTACAAACGTGTATTTTCGGTCTCAATAATATTATATGAGGTGATTCACGCAAAGAAGTGCATTTCGAGGCCTTTGGGGTTAAGGGTTTCGGGTCTGGGATCAAGGAATGAAAGGAGGGACCCTGATAAGGCAATTTGTAAGTTTTGTGGTTCATTGAGGATGGTATCTTGGGAGTTTGCTTGTGAATTCAAATTGATATAATAATGATTCGAGTTATGATATAAGATTATAGGATATAAATCTTAAATCGTATTCCTTAAATCCTGCCTCCGCATTAAACCATTCGTTCAAGATCTTGCTAAATAACTTCCTGCCCACCACGCTCACGCGTCAGACTCTCAGATATCTATATAGAGATGCCGAAAATACTTGGATATTTTGTTTGTCCGAACTTCTTCAGGATTTTAGCGTATGTCTGTTTCTACTTAGTAGGCGGATATGCCGTCGATGGAATCGACGGGTCCCCTCTAGTCTTTGAAATCCTCGGAATTTTTCGAAATAATTGAAATTGGATAATATGAATTTAAAATCTCAGATAAGGGGCCTTGGGAGGCCTATATCATTTTCCGGGAGTAGGGCCTTGTCCCCAACTCTTCCAAATCTTTCTTAACCTTGATCTAGAATAAAAAAGATAGGGATTTTCGGCAAAGAGGTCCAAATAAATTGAAGATATGGACCAAAGAGGTTTGAGTAAATCGAAGATTTCTTGCGAAATATAATTACGACGCGGTCTTCTCGCATGAAGAGGGTAGCTTTAGTAAAATTGAAATATTTATTCCTTCGTGGGATTAGTCATCTTTTTTTGATACGGTCTTTTCGCCGAAAAAGAGGACACAATCTACTTAGTTTCGAAACTTTGTGACCAAAATTCTTGCCAGGCCATGCTCCATTGGAGCCACCCACAAGCGGACAACAACGTGACACGGCCAACCCACCCACCCACAAGCGGACAACACCGTGACACGGCCAACCCACCCACAAAGGGACAACTCCGTGACACGGCCAACCCACCCACAAGCAGACAACACCGTGACACGCCCAACTCACCAACAAGACCCCCACAAACGGACAACACTGTGACATGCCCAACCCACCCGCAAG